TGAATGAATTTTGCTGGATTCTTGCCATATGAGACCTAAGTAGTCATAATATCTTAGCACTCGAAGTCTATAAAATGCTCAACAATCTAAATCTTTTTTAGGAAGAACTATTTTTCGCCAAAACTTTTCATGGAATCATGACACAAGATCTGATTGGAGCTCGATTCCATGGAAAAAATGCATATGTTCTTTTTGCAGTAAATGAATTGCCTCATGCAATCGATGAACTTCTTCGTGTTAACCAGAATTAGTGTTAGTCCTCAATTGTAACAACCAACATTGAATAAATCAAAGAATGCAATAAGATGCTATACAACCTATGCAGGAAGGAAAAGTGTTTATTGCTCATTGGGCAGACCAACGTATCCTGAACCCAACGAAGGTCGTAATTTCAAGAATTCTGTTACAGAATTTAGACCAGTTGTGACTTCATTGTTTTCTAATGTTGTTATTTGAAATTTAGGTAAATTTGAGCGTAAAAAGAAAAATGTTTTTGGATTCTGTTGAAAGATTCATAAAATACTCAAAATGTTGGAAAATGTAAGGGTAGGGCTTGAATGAATTTGTTTCAAAATCTGTACCTACAATCATTGCCAAAATACTTGGAACACCAAGCAATTTGCGTTGTATCTTTATATTTTTTCAATTCTTTCCCCTGATACTCCAATTTCCGCACCCCCTTCCCCCCAAGACAATGCTGATAATTTAGAGAAATATCATAAAAGAAGCGCAAAAGAAAGTGTTTCCTAAAATCCTAGCCCGTTTCATAGTAAACCAACATTGTTCGGTAGGGGAGAGGGGGATAACCTTGGAAACTGACGCCGGTGTTCTAAAACTTTTGGCAGACATTGTAGGTTTGTGATATCAGAAGAGTAATATTGGCACAATATGCAATACTTAGTGGAGGGAAGATCCTAGTCAACAGGTCAGTTTTCATCCAACAACTCAGTTCATCCGAGGCTAATCAATTTCTTTTCTTTGCAAACATGTTGTAAATTATTTGTTTCTTTGCTAACTGTAGCTTTTTTACTGTTTAAAAAGAAGCACCCATCTTATGGGTATCTGTTATAAGCTCCATATAAAGGTGTTTTGTATTTGTATTTGTTGCTACCTAGCATCCGAAGGTAGTTTTTAAGACACTGAGAAGCTTATGCTTATCGAGCAGTGTCCTGGTCCTTCCTCTCGATGTGACCACACCTCGTGATTCCTATGCCTGGAATTACAGAGAGCTGGCGACTCTCCTCACTCTGGGTGAAAGTTTGGTCATGCCAGGGGCTCGAACCACGGACCCTTGGGTCTGTAGTCAGCGCCTCTAACAATTGAGCCATCCTCGCACCAAAAAAGGGTGTGGCATGCTTTGGAGTTTTTTCATTCCTCAAAAAAGCGAGAAATATGCAAACAACTGTACCTCGCATTTGATTGGCTGTGTCGAGTACTTTGGAAACCAGATTCTAGGTGTTTTCCAGATAATCTTGTGAAACTCCAGAAACCACACTTTTTACTCTAGTCAAATCTTTTCAAAAAAAGACTTTACGGGAATCTCCGTTTCTACCCAGTTGTTGTCATTTTGAACTATAAGCTTTAGATAGATAGCTTTAACACATCTTATGTATTAACTGTATCCTATTACCTAACCGTATCCAGGACATTCCTATATGTTATATTCTAAAGGGGGGCGTCAGATTGAGGTTTTTCTGTGATTGGTATCTTTAAAGTTCCTTGTTACACCGTAGACAGTTTTCTAAGAAGGCGTCTATCTTATGTACACCTATAACATTTCCCTAGGCGAAGGAAGGCTTATGACATGCCTTTGTCATTTTTTCTATTTTCTATATTGATTTATGAATATGTTCACAAGGTTAATAGTAAAAGCTCCCAAACTGTTTCACCATCAACAATGGTAAAATATAAGATATCTGTTTCTGAATTTAGGAACGTTTTTGAGTATATTGGGAACTGTCATAATGAAACGTTCATCATGTTACCCAATGAGGGTGCGAAGTGGGGGAGGAGGGTTAGCTGTGATTGCGTCGCTATGTTTTGTCAAGACTAATGATTCCATATCTGGAAAAGGCGGTATTTGTGCAAGAATTTGTAGATTTTGTCTGCTGGAATTCTTCCCTAGCCTAATTTTATATTCATGTATCTATCTTTCAGCGAAAATTTTTACCCATTCCATACGAACTTGACACAAGGAGTTAGTTTTCTCTCTTGGCCTCTCTAATTATGTGAGCGGACACAACAGTCCCCCTGTCTCCTTACTTTCTTTCCGCATCTTGACATGAATTTCTGCTGATCTTTTTTGTCACCATTTTATTCAGTACTTCAACTTTACATGCATCCACCATCCCATGCTATTGTTAAAATTTTGTGATACTAATGGTGTATTTTGTATTTTCATTTATCTTGGAAACAGTGCCCTTAAAATAGACACAGCCCCTAGCAAACAACATTTTAAGTCGCCTCATCTATCCCCTAAGATTGCAGTGTGAGAGCTACGAAGCAATGTGTGTGACGTAAAAATTCCTAAAGCAGACAAATTGGTGCCTCTAAAACATATCTATCCTGCCAGTAAAACGTAATTGTACACTAGTTCTTGTCTATGTTTTTCATACTGTGTTAGGGGTCTTATCAAAATGGCAAATAACTGAAGGGATCTGTTAGCTGTAGAAAACAGTGCCACCATACCATGGGCTGTCTCAACCTTTGATGGCTCAAGAAACCAAAACTTCTTTGAAAAGTACATAATGTCTTGATCATTTTTATTAATTTGTCAAGAAACGTATGGCTGGTACGTGTAATACTATTTATATTAAAAGTATCAGGGAGACTGTGCCAGGTTTTAGTATTTCTAATAGCATGACACCACCATTGAATAATTTTTGCCCTTTTCGCATGTTTTAAATTATTTTTGTCGACAACGCCCCCTCCCCTTATATACATCTATCCTATCCATAACATTTTCCAGCACCCCTGACTGACTGTGGCCCTGACTGACTAAGATATCTACTGTTGCTTTACTAATTTTTATCAGTATTACTCAGTTGCTTGCAATCATTATGCTAAAAGTCACGATAATATATCGAAATTTCATTGCAGGTTTCCAGAATCCTTGACGACGGATTACGTGAATATTATTTTCGTGCTATGAGGACTGGGTACACCTTTGTCCCTTACAGCAGCATGGCAACAGCAAGCAAGTTGGCATCTTTTAGCTTATGTTCCTTTTAACCTTTACATGTCATGAGAAATAGCATCTTTCGTTGATTTTTCTTTTGATTAACTTCAGTGCCCTGTATGTTTTGATCGCGAAATTTATCACCTTCCAAAGCATGTTCAAAAAACTTTTAGCAATTTTTCCGGCCTAAATAATGTGGTGATTTCAGTCAAAAGCGTAATATTATGCTTGCTGAGTGCATTTCAAAACTGTCGATTATAGCTTTAAATTTATTTGTGTCTGCCAGTTTTCATAAGGACAAATAAGTTTACCGAGAAAAAGCTATCGAAACATTGGTACAGGGGTGTCGTAACGGTAACCATATTTTGGAGAGGGGGCGTAGTATGAATTTTCAGCATAAATATACGAGAACAGGAAATGTATATGTTTTATTATTTTTGATAAATCTCATATTTTCTCATTTCTGATAAATATATTTTCTAACAAATCTCATAATTGTTGTGGACATCGTTCTTATGTTTGGTAGTGGAAATCGTATATTATTTGACCTTTCTCACTAGAGAACTCGATTTTCTCTGTTTAATGAAACGTACGCCTGTCTCTCAAATATAGCCGAAAGATGTTCTTTTGTGGATAAACTTTGTTTCTTAGACAAAGAAGTTTGTGAAAACTTTTGTGTGCTGCTCACCAACCTGTTACATTTGGGTCGGTGCCTGTACCCACCTCTCCCTGGTATAATGCAGCCTCTTTATGAAAGCAATCCGATATTTGTTATTCAAAGTTCTTGTGTTAGAAAAGACAAAGTCTGTTTGTTTCTGTGTATCCCACTGACTAGACATCCTACATTTGCTTAATATGATTATTATTAAATATGAAAATATGATCATTAACAACCATTCCCTAAAACCCTTTATTGAACATTTGGTCACATTTTTATGAGACTATTCAACTGGTTTTTTCCATTGCAAATGAAGCAAAACTAAAACGTAGTGTTAAGATAATTGTTCAACATGACCTTTTCTGAAACGTCCATGTTTCATCCACCCTTATGAGAAATGGTCACGCCACCCCTGATCTTCGAAAATTGTTAGCTTCGTTCAATCAAGGCAAAGCACTTGTTTATTTTCTATGTTTGTTTTCTTTCCTTGGAGATATTTTGCCAAGCAGCAAGGATGCACTTATTCATCTTCCGTAGCACCTTGGCAATATTTTGATTTATGATACTTCAGGTAAACTTCGATCAGACCTGAAATTGCTGTATTTTTGTTTAGGCAATTACTGTTGATTACACACTCTTTTTATAAGAATACCTAAATTTTGCTGAGCCTCAATATTTTCAATTTTTTAATTGTTAGCCTCCTAAAATTATTCTTTAATTTTTACTTAAGCGATACAATGTGTAGCCTGGTGGAATTATAGTGCCATCAATAGTGTCCTAGGCCAGATACATCTATTTCAAGACACAGTGTGAAACTTGCATTTGTTTGCTTTCTAAAAAAACTCAAATAAACAAAAAAAAGTTATTGATGACGCTTGGTCCTTGCATTACTCTTAAATCATTCTTAGATTTCAGCGATTTTGAGCCTTGATATTCTTATGAACAATATTCTTATAAAAAAGTGTTGTCATATGTTTGCTAGCATTCGACTCATCGACTAATTTAAACTCTTGCATTTGAAAAGCGGTATTGAGAGGTACCATAAACATACATCATGTCAATCAGTTTTAGTTGATGATACAACTTTCAAATAAAGTTCATTGTCAAAATTTTACCCGAAGTATCAAGTGTTTTCGCTCGTGTAAAATCTTACAACCCTCGGGCCAGTGAGTTAAAAAGACACAGGTTGGGAGGAGTCCTTATGTCCCAGAAAAACAGGCCACTCCCTCAAAAAATCTGAAATTGGCACTGCAAAGTCAAGGAGCTTTTTCCAAATGTTTGGGGGCACGTGCCCCTGGTGCCTTCAACTTCCCTGAGTGTCACACCCTCCCCCCTTGCAGTTTTGACCCTGAAAATGTGTCCCGATATCAGATTGGAGCATGTCGTTTGGTAATATAGCCCACAAGCCTAATTAAAACCCTAGGACAGTGGTTGCTTTCTTAAAGCCTGATGGAGTTTAGGGGTTGAAACTTTGCAGTGTGTACATACAAATACAGATCTGCACTTGATAGCTATCGATGTAAAACAGTTCTAGTATCGTTTACCCTTTTTTCTGCCTCTTCCTCGACCTGCTTGTAAAAATTCAGATTCCCCTTTGCATTCGATTGCCAAAATCACCATGCAAAGACTTTGCAAGAATGAACAGGAGCGAAACTGACCGGAGAGTTGTTGTTTTCGGGGCTTGTTGCAGGAAACCTCGTCCTCCTCTTTTTACAGTTGGCTAGAATAATCGTTACTTTGTAAGCAAAATAACCTGAAGATAGACAACATAGTGACCATATAGTCTTCAAAATGTCTTTATATTCAGAGGATACTTTTCATTCAGCCACCGCCAAGCCCCTTTCACTGCTGCCATCCATTAAAAGGCTCCCACTCCCCTCAAAGGCTCCCATCCCTTCCACTGCTCCCACTCCCTTCAAAGGCTCCCACCCCCTTCAAAGGCTCCCATCCCTTCCACTGCTCCCACCCTCTTCCACTGCCCTCACCCTCTTCTACTGCTAGCAGCAAGTATGAACCAGCAAGAAATGTTACAGGCTAGCCAAATGAAAAACAAACACAATTTTGATCTTTGAGCTTTGCTTTCTATTAAACTAGCTCTCCAATTGGTGAAAAGCAAGACAGATTTAATAAATCAAAGTAGCCCCACTTTCCCGCTTCTTGTCTGTGGGCAAATCTAATTCTGCAGAATGGGCTGAGCTTAAATGTTAAGAAATTGTTATAGTGGCTATAAACGCCACGCGTTGGTTCCTGGGTGTATTGTAAACGATGGTAAAGTGAGTGATTCTCTTATCCAGGATGTGTGGTGGTATTAACGCGTTAAGTTGCTGGCATCCTTTAAATAACTGATGAATATCTACGGCACGTGCCAGGTACCCTAGAGTCTTTTATTGACACGTTCAGGATAACTAAGTGGTGCCATTAACTAAAGTTTATTGTTCCGGGCCAATAGGTTATTGGAATTCGCCGTATCTTCGTTCCTGTTATAGAAATCTCTTACAAAACTGTTTACATAGCATCACTGAAGGTATTGAAAATTCGTCTGCATGCATTGCTGCCTCGTGGTGGGGGTGACAAAATAAACAACACTTCATGTACGACAAAAATAACCTGAGTCATGTTTTTTCTATCTTTGGAATGATCTTGCTTGTTGTTTCAACTACTTTCTTTCAAATACTTGGAAATACACTCTAAAAGTCTGCTTCATTGTGGCACTATTCTTGCTTTTAAGATCAGACTTTGCAAAAATAAATTTTTGAATCCAAAATTTGGATAAAATTCTGCGGGTTGGAGTTACAAGAGTAACAAATAATCTATCGTTTGCGCATGTTTTTTACTGAAATACCATGGGCCCCGTTACCCCGAGCCCCCATCACCCTGGGGGAGCTAAGGAGGCCATGTTATTGATTTTCCAACATTAAGGAATTGCATCGTATTAAACTTTTGTTCATATTTGTTCATAGTTATTCTAATATTAGAAAATGCTTATTGACACTCAAATTGAGTTGAAGACTCAATTGTTGATTTTTCATTGCGTTTAAAGGGTGTTGCTTTACAAGGCGCTGTAGTTTCAGACTCAATTTTTGGCTAAGGAGGCCACTTTTTCTATTTGTTTTTTCATGAGGTCTTTGTCATGCCTAATTTAAAGTCGGTCATGGGTCAGTGTATCTTGATTTAAACAAATTCAGTACAATTCTTTTTACCTTGATTAAGGTTTGGCGCCAAAGTATTATAGTTCCGCACGAATCTTACCAAAACTACGAAAAAATCTTGTCTTGGAGTTAATTTTCCGAAGTTTATAGCTTGCAAACGATTTATCTGATACGTATATAATTGCTAGTGGGGGATTTGTCTCCATTGAAGGTTTTGCTATGGTGAGGATTTGTCTCCAAGGTTGAGGTACTTAGAATATTTGAAATTACGATTACCCTAAAGTGTTTTTCGGGACCCCATGGCCGTGTTACCCAATCCGAAATAGGACTGTTTTTGTTACCCTTGCAGTTTTTGAGACACCTAGCATATGTACCAATGTGATGTTTTGTACATATCCAGGGCTGTGCAACTGGCCATAAGCTACGTTCCACAAAAGGCTAACGGCTATCCGAAAGCTTATAGAATCCATTGAAATGGTCGAGTGAACAGTCTATCGGGGTATAGAATTTCATACAAAGCATGCTTACAATAGATTATAAGACCGAGCACGCGCAGGCACGTACTGAATAACCACTTCTTATTCAAGTCTTTTGTCATGGTAATTGATAAGTACACCTCAGATATGATAAGTTTCTAAACCGAATTGGCGAATGCTTAAGAACTTTCCGCCTGACGAAGTCAACCAATCAAATGGCTTGAATTGCAATCCCCATAGAGCGTGCAAAGTGTCAATTATATTCTCGCACGCGTCAGTGTTTGCCGTATTGCGCTTCTCACAATCTGACGCAAAGGAGCAACGGTTTCAAAGACAAGCAACCGCTGTTTAAAATCACCGAAGGAAAAATGGATCCAATCGAAGATTTAAACTTGGAACTTCAACTGCCAGAATTCGCAGACTGGGCAGATTTTGATGGCATTTTAGATTTTGGTTCAGATGGAACCTCTCCATTATCCTCTCCAAGTCACTATTCCACGGGATCGTCTTGTAGTTCCCCTTTTAGTGCTGGAAGCTCGGAGAGCCCGCTGCACTCGCCAGACCCCAGTGTAACTGACCAGCAGTTTTATACCAATGCATCAATACAAGGCGAAAGGGAGCAGTCTTCTAAAGTTGATACGAAAAGGCGTGCAGCCAGGAGCAGACGATCTAGAAAGGCTTCTCAACGAAGTGGCGAGACGAAGCATAAGAGAAACGAGAGAGAAAGGCGACGGGTGAAGAAACTTAGTGATGCGTTCATAAGTTTAAGAGACAGTGTGCCATACTGTGTTGGCGATAAAAAACTATCGAAGTTAGAAACGCTCAAGTATGCCCTATACTACATGTACACATTGTCACGAGTGCTTTATGAAGATGATGTGAGGAAGAGAGCTAGCAAAACTGAGCAATGGTTGGCGGTACAGCAAGAGGAGCTCAGAAAAAACCAGGTTGGTTCATACTTACTAGATTTTGTCAGCTACGTAAGTAGTGTTGAAAAAGTAGCTAAATATGTATGATTTTTTGTTTGTGTATTGTATTAACATAGTGCCTTCATGTGGAGGTATGGCCGTGGCAAATGCAGACAGAAATGCAGAGAGGCAAAGTGTTGTCCTTGTTTAACTTTTTATAGTTAACTATAAGCATTTTTAATAAGATGTACCATCGACAAAAATCTGAAGGGAATTTGAATGCATAAACTATTAAGAGGTGCTTCGTTTTCTTATTGATTTAGAATATCATAATATTTAGAATATAAAAAGAATTGTATTAGATTAGTTATAAGTAAAAATTTGATTTTAATACCCGTCTTTGGGCAAAAATACACTGAAACATCGCGCATTTAGAAAGTTATGTTGGACACGTCTGTGTATTTGTTTGAAAAACCAAATGGCGGGATTGAAATATAATGGTTTTGTAGAGATTTAGAACTTTAAATAGGAGATAAAATGTGTAACCTGACAATGCTCTGGCTTAGCCCACGCGTGTACTTCGTGTGGAGATCAGGAACAAACTGCTCAAGTGCAAATCGCCTTTTAGACACAGGCACGTGCGCTCAAAAATTGGATTTAGCATAACTCTAAGGGGCGAATTCATCTCTCGTCATCCCATTGAAGTCTTTTTCTTAACTAATCTTACACTTCTAAATGAAGCGCCTTTGAAGTGATTGAATGACCAATCAAGTTTGTGTCTTCCTGCAAAACATAGCAAAACGCGGGAAGAGCGTTTGAATATATTTCGTTCATTTTAAACGCCATGTTTTTGTAAATGAAAAACCGTCGTCCTGCAAATAGTTTTTCGGTTATAGATGTCGGTCCAATATTCGTTATGATTAAATAGCAAGTAGATTTCTACGGGAAGTAGATTTAAATAGGGTGCTGCATTTTGGGCGGGTAGAACTTTCTCGTTGGTTCGTTGGCTTTGGAGGGCGTTGTTCCCTTAGCCACACTCGTCGACTACTATGGAATGTCGCAACACGTGGAGCGATAGAGCTGTGTGTAGCGTAGAGTGAATCAACTAAAGTCGTTAAAGCAGGTTGAAGATTACTCATGAAAAACAACTCAAACTCCTAGATTAAATAAAATCTTTAACCAAACAAAACATATTTGTCGATCTGGCCCAAGCACGTTTTGTTCTTTAAGCGAGACATTGTTGTTCAGTGCTGGAATTCCGACCTATGCAAACAGTCTGCGCTAACACGAGTGTACCAAAACGTGGGTCCCAATGGCTTTTCCTTCTGTGCCCAGAAACGTTTAGTAAACTTTCGGAAGAACTTTGTATGCTAATCTAAGCATCAGTTTTGTAGTTCCTGTCATCTCTTACAATCGTTGTGCAAACTGGAAAGCACATAGTTGAAAAACAGACGTTTGAAGCTATTTTTGGCCTCACTTTTAAATTTCAGTCATTTAATCTGAACCTTTTTTGTTATCTTCGTTTTGATAAAGCATATTTTGGCCTTGCGTTACAACATTTAAATCTGAAATTCACTTAACTGGTGGCCGAGTCAAACCATGGATCATTACGGACTGTGTTGTATCGGTTAAAGAATTGATGTTTTGGCGCCAAATTCCTTCACAAACAGGCACCCACGCAAAAACGCTGAGTGAGGCATAAGGTCTTTGATTTTCGCTAGCCTGTTTCTGCTACTAGCAATATTTTTAATACACCGGCAATAACAAAATCAAGGAAAACTGTAGTTGGTAGCGAAAGTGAATTTTTTCCACAGCTCAGAAACACCTCCTTTTTTATAGAAACGACCGTTTATGAATTTTACGGTGACTTTATTTATAAAATCCTCAAGCGCTATTTCCCTTTATGGCAAACTTAAATGTGTAGCCCAAACTATAATTTTACCGCACCCCTCCCCCCCCACCCCCAATTCACAAGCACTCTCTGTTTTACTGTTACTCGCTAGTAAGTACGAGATCCAGTAGATTTTAAACCAATTTCCTATAACTTCATAATTTGCTACATAATTGATATGCTATATCTTATTTATGAACACGATACTGTTAAGCGATTAGAACTTGAAGAATATATTCGTGACTGCTGTTCGATATCCTGGTACGAACTTTGGAAAACATAAAGTCGAGTCTACTGTTCTTGCTAAATCTTTGACCCTTGCGTATATACCAATTCTTGACATTCTAAGCTTTGTAAAATCCACAACATACAAAAAGGCCCCTTTGAGCTCTGGCAGAGTGTGGCTTAGCCCTTAAGCAGATCGGAGCAGTACAGCAGTGTAATTCTGTAATTCCCCACTCAAATCATCTTTACTTTATACGCAACCAAATTCATCATGTCACAGATGAGATGCAAAGCTGGTTGTTAGCATTCGCGAATATGATTTCTCGTTCTCAGGGGGTTTTTTCTTTGCTGATGTACACGTCCTACTTCCATAGTCCTACATATCACAGGCTAATTCTTCGTGAATTTCCCTGGGTGTTATGTAACGTCAAATACTTCTTGATAAGATTTTGCACTGTGAAAAATCAATTGTTTATCAAAGAAATTGAAATGCAATGCACTACTTTCTTAGTAGTAAAATAGTGATTTTGAGGTGAAAGACAAGTATTCCCTTTAAAAATGAATTTTAGAAGTCATTTACATTGTGTGTAGATTCAAATGGTGCAGTAAAAACGAAAAAAGTACTAAAAATATGGGCTGGAAGATTCATAGTTTAATTACACGTGAAATTACAGTGGCAGGCATGTTGTACCATTTTGTGATGAAATGTTATGTAATTAATTAGGAACTCATTTGGAAGAGGGTGTGGTCGGAATTAGGCAATGAGAAGCAACAACCTGTAATACCTACTCACGTCGATACTTGTGAATTGACTTTACCCTATGCAGTAGAGCAACCATTAGGTGAAGCGCTGTAGTTCCTGGTTATAATACAAAAAACATAATATTTTCAATCTACAAGGACTGGCCAGTACCTATTGGTTTAAAATCAAGACGCCACCCTTAAATGAAAATGGTATATTCGGGAATTTTTAGTGATAAGAACATGATAAAGGGGCCAAAAAGCCCATGGCAGAAAATAAATTTGGTGAACAGTCTAATTCATATGCCCGCTTTGCTATTTCTTTTGCTATGGTTAAAAATGTCAAAAATTCTGTGGATTGCACCTTAAATGTTTCTGTTATCCCATTGGGCTTGATGGTTTTATATGGAGATCATAAGCATAAGACCTTTGGACAGTTATAGCCAGCTTTTACTGAGCACTATCCCCCGTTAGGTTCGTAGCTCACAAACGTGATCATCCATATTCAGGCTGGGTATATGAACCGCCTTCTTACGAACATTGAAAAGCATATTAACACGAAAATTGCCTAAAGTTCTGTGGCTGTTTTTGGTTACCGAAATTCATGAATCGATAAATCTCAGTCGTGCCGTGAATTAAGCCTCGCTGAGCTTCTGAAATACGTTTCTTTTATCCCCGGACCATCCAATGGTTTATTAATTCAACTTGAACTCGCACGTGCCAATTTATTTGCTTGGATATGATCATCTATGATGTTCAACCGACTGTGAAACGAATCACTGTCTCTTTCAATCTAGACCACGCTGCCCACTGTTGTTTCAACCAAAGTCTCTGTTTGCTATTTTATTAGTTGTTCCAAGTTACACAAATATTTTTGATCCATAGAAATGATAACAGTGGGTAGCCAAAGTGATGAACTTCTACCTTTCTTAAACACTAAATTATCTCCGCTTTAAGAGACACAATTTTATTTCAAGTCCTTATCTCTCGCGCCTCATTTTCTTGCGTTTTTATGATTACACTGAAGAATTTGCTATTATGACATCATAATTTCAATTGTTATTCTTTCACCCATCAACTTTCCCCTTCCTTTTTTATTGAAAATATCTTAACCCCTCTGATTTTTCCTTAACTATCATTGCCATATATTTTGTTATCGTCATTACTTGCTTTACTGCCTGCAAAACTCTCATAATTATCATTATTACAAAAGTAATAAGATGAAAGATTGACATTAAAGATTGCATATATAGGCTCGTCTGGGAATGTTTGACGCTCCTTCCACGCCCCTGCCAGTAAGGAGAGACAGAGTAATATTTCTGTCCAATGATAGAACTGAGAGGATGTAGTGTAATTACATAATTTGTGGGAGGTGATGGCGTTATCTGGCAATTATTTGAGTTATGTGTCATATTGCTGTTTATTCCAGAAATTTAAGCAAACAACGATATTTTTTTGGCCATGTTTGTTTACCTTTAGGCGACCAGAATGGAACCGAGGGCACTCCAGTATGGCTCCGTATGATCGTTTTTTACTGATGGTTTTGAATAGACAACTATCAATCAGTTTACGCTATGAATGGCAATGGATCACAAGGCCGCCTGATTGGCCGTGTGCTTTTGTCCTGTATGTTTCAAAGAGACTCTCCAGGCCTTCCGGAGACTTGAATCGTGCATTTCAACAATCTATAGGATAAATATAAAGGTCTGGTAAACTAATTAATAGAGAATGGCACGATATGGATCCTAGTAAAGGATTTAAGAAGAATTTTTGATCTGTTAGCCTTAACTAGTCATGGTGTTTTGACCTTTTCGAATAATATCGTTAGTGATTTTTAGAAAATAATCAACATAACCGTTGCCTTTTTTTCTTATTAGTAAAAACGGTACCTTATCACTGATAATCATCATAAATCATAAAAATCATAAACATTATCACCATTATCAATAATAATCAGGGCCCGCGCCACTGGGGGGCCGGGGTGGCCATTGCCCCCCACTTTTTGCGAAGCAAGTTCTTTTTAAACTGCAATAAAAGGGGTAAGAAGCCTTGGCCCTCTACTTTTTTAGCCTTGCCACCCCCCCCCCCCACTTTAAAATTCGTGGCGCGGGCTCTGATAATGATTCATCATCGTTAATAATAATCATCACAATTATCATAATCATAATCATCGTTAACAATAACCATCATTCGCCAATAAGGTGTTAACGGGCGGCCGCTCTTCTTGAGCCCATACGACGCTCTATAATCTTCTCTTTCCTTTATGCTCAAAATGAGTTATTTGGCAACTTTGAATCCCCTACACGCTTACCGTCAAAGCATAGTCATAGTAAAATTCAGTTATGATGTCAAAGCCGTTTAGCTCTGCCGTGTGCGAGACAAAGGCGTTTTGTCCCTGGGACAAAAGATTAGCAATCAACTATCCTGCCTTTGGCAGGGTTTGCGTTGACATTACATTGCGATGGACTTACCACTGTATTCTATCAATCATGCGGCTTCCGTGCTTCTTATCTATTCTGTTTTAATAGCGGTTCGTAAATTGTTTTGGCCAATTGAGTATTTGAAGTCCGGAACCAAGCAATTTATGATCTTGGGGTCTCAAAGCGTGGAAGAGATTTATTAATAGACTCTGCACGTGCCAAATCTCGTTACACAGTTTCTACCTTAATTAGATTCTGAGAAGTAAAATTTGATATATAGAGTAAGTACTTGGTATTTTATCTTAATTAAGCAACAATACAGAGGCTTTTGGTCAACACCGACCGCTTTGAATCAACTGGAAGGAAGTGTATCTTCCTCTATCTAAATGTGTGCTTCTTATAATTATTTCCCGCATGACTGTGTTCCTTTTGCTGTGGGGTCGTTGGAACCGGAGGGGGGATGGTGGGGGGCAGCTCCTTTCAACTTTGATACCCCTGGGCTCTCATACATACCTGTTCCCTCTTTCGTTCTCATTCATGTCAATATACTGTAGTATTCCACTTTGAGTATTCTTGTTAATCCATTACGTATTTCTAATGTAAGCACAGTGAACAGAAATGATCTTTTGACGATAAAAAAACCTGGAAAACGCCAGAAAACTGGATATAAATGGAAAAGCTTGGAAAACGTAGTATAAGCTGCTGAATTTTTGCTCTGTCGTTCATTCGTACATCATGCTTCTCCCCTAGAGTGACTTTTTGACTACAAGCTTTATTCTAATTCTATTACTGTGGGCTTATTTCCTCCTTATTGAAATTCTTTTTTCTAATAAGTTACTCACTTCATCCTGCAGGTGAACATAAGACAACCCAATGTCATTGTCGACCAGACCTATTCAACACCAATCATTTTAGTGCCTGCGCAAAATGCTGGAATGCAGAATGGCTGGCTGAGCTTTGTCAATGCAGTTGCGGTGCCTATTGCGGCCACAACATAAGCAAATCAGAATGGTGCTACAGAACCTCGGAACCGAGGTTTTACCTGTCCAGTTGGTACACACAGTGTTGTCATTGGAAATTTACATGGTCACTCTCCGTCGGAGCTGTACAGTAGAAGAATTCAGGGACTCTAAATCGGGTTGCGTAGCTCGTTGTTCGTCCTAATATCAGTAAGCAATTTTCGTTACATTGTGTAACGATTAGAATATAAAGGTCGATAGCTAGCAAGTATTGGGTTATTAGTTTAACCTTAGATTGGCCTAACACAGACCATCGATTTAACAGTGTCTAAATAGATGTATAAATTTCTTGCTTTTTGCTATTTTCATTAGTGTAAGTAGAATGAATAATTTTTAGTTCTGGGTCCGTCGCCACGCAATGTTTCTGTAATTTTCAAACAAGCATTTTCATGATGTAAATTCATCGATACTACTCCAACGCACATTGCATGAAAGATTATAAAAGACCTTATTCAGCTATCCTTTGGCTGCAATCTCATTTATGTTCAAATGCGAAAGATGTTCTTGGTGTTTCTAAACTTAGGGACATTTAGGCCAGCAGGCTTAGTTTTCCTCCTTAGGGTACCGTTCCACCTTCATGTTTCTCAGGTCGTGCCTTGTGTCGTTCGTCAATACATACCTACGCAATTTCAGACCCATTTTATGGCTTGTAGCGGCATGTACCAGTTAATGAGACAGTATGTGCCAAGTGCTTTTGGCACGGAAAGCCACCTTTTATGTTACTTTGTTGCTGCTCTCTTAATTTAGCTCATTAAGCATCCAATCGCGTGTACCTAATAGATTTCCTATAGTTGTGTAAACATTAAAACACTTTTGGCAAGTGGGCAACGCAATTAGTGCTAATTTGATATTCAACCTGAAGAATTCACCTCTCTAACGTTCCAAACGTTTGTGGATTTTGGTAAACTGCATTCTGTTTTGCAAATGTTTTGAGTCTCGTTCCAGATCCTTTCAAGTGTTAAATGACGTAGTTTTCCCTATTCCCTCGACTCTTCTCCCAGTATTTGGATGTTGTCACAGAAAGTCACCAATTACTCTACTTCCTCATCCCTTTGTCCTACTTGAAAATGCTTGTTTTGAAAAAGGATGAAATCGGAGTAGCAATAACGCATGGATTTTTGTATAGTTATAACAAGCTTGCGCGGCGAAATGTTTTATATTATGTTAAATGATGTACATAAAAGATCTATTTTTGTATTTCGTAAATATTTAGTCTGATTTTGATCAGAATCCCAATGATGTAACTCTGATTTTTAGCTTTTTGTACTTGGTAGTCAATATGACCATTTTTGCATAGTTTTTATAAGTAGCTTTTGCTAGTTTTATTATATGTGCAGTCGGCAATTGATATGTACGCAGAAAGTCATAACTTTAAGTTTCACGAAGCAAGTATTTCCATTGCAGATGAAAATGTCTGAAAAAAGGACACGGAACAAAATTTAAAGCGCATTGCGATCTTTATCCGGCAAGCTGTATGAAAACATGATACGAGTTTTTTCAAAGAATTTGCCTTTGCAGATTTATTCTTTAAACTCTTTTTTTATTAGTTTTATACAATGCATCTTGAATTCTACGCAATTGAACAGGTTTTCATTGCTAGCAAAGATGCTTTGTATAAGTAAGAAAGCGCCTCAGTTCACTTTTAGGCCGCCCCTGGTGACGACTTTCTTCGTATGTAAGCTCAGTAGAATTATGTTGTGATTCGTTTTTTGTACGTCTCTTTAAAAGAACCACCTTGATTATCAAGATGCACCTTAGAATGGAACTGGTAGTTTCGTTTGTGTGAACACTCTTCATTTGAACAATACCAAAGAAAGTGGTAAAGTTTGAAATCTCGAATACGGAAGCACTGAAGTAAGGGCCTCAGAGGGGGGAAAGATGGTGCGGACCATAGGCGACGTTGTCGGAGAAATAAAGAAATTTGGATGTTTTTTATCATTGCAGGGAGGAATCCCTGCCGATATCGAATCTGTATTAAGATTTGGTACTTGCAATATGATATTTGTAACATTTTTTTACTTTGAACAGTCATTCAAGGTAACATGAGCATATTGAAAACTTTCCACTACTACTTAATGTTGCAAAGTGTTGCATGGTGCTGTAAAAAGTGTTGCATGGTGCTGTAAAAAGTGTTGCATGGTGTATTCATGATTAAAGAAGTTGCCGAGCCACCCTTGAGATCGGAAACATTGTCCCGCCATCGAAAATTTTGGAAATTACAGTTTAATCCCGGTACAACGAACTTCGTAGGACTAGGAGAAAAGTTCTTAATAGAGGGGTTTATTTTACCAAGGGCTTGTTATATAAGAAGTATTCCAAAGGAAAAGGCTTACTTCGTAATAGCAAGAGTTCGTAATATGTGGGTTCAAAACATCGGGATTCCATTGGTTGCTATATTAACTCGCTAGCTATCGATGACCCCCTTGTTTTTGCAAAAATGGCAATTTACAATATTTGCTGTTGTGTTTGGAACACTCTATCTTGTTTCTCCTTAGTACCAGTGTACTTTTTTATCACTGTATTTCATAGCCTATTGCAGAATTTAGAAGTTCTCAAATATGAGTGAATGCGTGTTCTACACTGGAATGCAGCTAACTATGAAACTACTTTGTGTGTATGTTAGCGCTAATGGCAGCCTTTGCATCTAGTTATTTGATACTGTTTTCGCGATCTGTTCGTGAAAGGTGATTCAATTAATGTGCGATATATGTTAAGGGCAGTCTGGGTGATATCTTGGCAAAGTATCGCCAATATTCATAGAAATAATTATAGAATCATGTTGGTTGGACAACTGGTATTCAAATGATTTTTTTGTGTTCCTCTGACTGTCATCTTAGGCTACCGTAATAGGAAAGGTGTATGGCAGCCCCTTTTGGAGAATTTTTTCCTAAAATCGAGGCTACACGTGCTTGTGATTATGATCTCTGCAACGCGTTGGAATCTGTGGTTGGAACCTAAACGAGTCGAATGTGTCGAAGGGAATCTAAACGAGAATACTTCTTGAAAAACTGTCATGAATTGTTAAATCATTTTATAACTGCAAAGCTCTATAAATTCTTGATTAGTAATAATAGAAGGTGTATGTAGGAACTGTCTTGCACATTTTTATAAAAAAATTTTTCTAGGAAACCCTTCATAGCTAATATACTCTTACCTTTTGAGAAAAGAGTCCCAACCACTCTAACTGGATTCCCCACCCCCTTACTGCCATAGCTTGCATGATCGTAGCATTTTAAAACAGGTATAGCGCTGTATGATGCTTCAAATATAATTAAGAGAGGGAGGTATTGGATTTAAAATTGCACCCTTAACTGTGTTGCTAGATGTAACTGGTCGAGGGAAGGGTTGAAGGCTTAACTAAAGAATTATCTTACATTGTGTCACGAATAATATACTTGGTTACAGTTAACAGCAGTTCTTCTAGTTTCTTCATCACGGTCGTAAACTTGTTGGTAAAACAGTGAAAATCTTTAGCGAATCCCTGAAGTACATCGAGCTCCCATTGCCCCGTGTCTTCATTGGCGCCTCATTATGCTTGTTGTTAGTAGGGCACTTCGTTATCAGATTAAATAACGTTTCTAAAAAGGTAGGACGATAGTAGACGATAACAGAAAAACACATTGTTCTGTGATCTATTGAGACATCAAAAAGCATTTTCTCTTCATATTTTAAATCCTTTCAGTTCGTAGGACTTTTTGTGCCCTCCTTACTTGATGACAAACCGCAGGGTTTTGCCAAAATTGAATTAATGTGTTCTACTTTTATCACCCAATGCAACCTAAAACATACAAGCACATTTATCAGCTAAAAACTCCGTTTATAGTCGCAGTAACCAGAAGGACATTAATCAAACTAACAAAGGAACAAATGAAAAATTGTCTTTTATCGGTCAGGTTGATTGTGAATTTTAAAGTGCTTTTTAAAGAAGCGGGCAGGTACATAGCAACAGCTAAAACCGGTCCTTTGATGATTTAGAAAATACAAACTAGACTTGGGCAGTGGCTAAGCTTATGTAACGGTTGTGTTTTGAGTAGGTGGTCTGAGTCCTTGGCATAATAGGTTAATCCATCAAGAGTTTCGTATAAATTATTTTAAGGATCAAAACTAGTGACTCTTTTATAAATTTCAGCCCATTGTTGAAAGGAGAACTCTTGAAAGAAAGGAAAGGAGATCTTTATAGATTGCCGAAGGTAGGCTTGCTTCTGGTTCACATTTATCTGCAATATGAAAATTACTACTCAGCGTATTTGGGTAAACTTAAACTATCAGCCTTTTTCGTGACGCGATTCCTTTAAAGCTGAAAATCCACTCTGGAAAACGATCCGCGGATCGGATCGGATCAGATCGTGTTGTTCTGATCAGTTCCGTTCGATTCGCGAATCGTTTCAGATTGGAACTCATGACGCAAGTGCTCTATTGTTTAAAAAGTTCTAATTCGATTTTGACCAAAAGAAAACCACTGCATCCATAGCGCGTGTGCAACACAAAATCTGATCCGATCCGTGGATCATTTTCCGGAGTGGGTTTTCTGCTTAAGTTTCCAATCCAAATACTACTTCTACTCAATGACCTGACGTCACCTACTTTCCGCTAGTTCCAGACTCCTTCGGGTAGTTTTCGGGCATCCAATGCTGCTTGCATGTTGTATCGAATGAGAATAACCCATCAATGCAAAGGTAATCCTTACCCTGAAAGATTTTCTACCTAAAATTCAAAACATACGACACATTGCACTTATTTTGGTGATTACATTTATTTTTAAAAAATGGCCGAACTTTCAATTTTTCTTCCTTCTAAAATTGGGAGGCTTTGGCCACATTATTTATACATCACAAAGCTGACGACATGCCTATCCGCAACCCTTCACACTCAAGTCTGGGAAGAATCCCTTCACACTCAATTCTGGGAAGAATCGTCCCCATCGGCCCCCATCCCCCGCTTATTAGTTTTTTTTAAATCCGCTAAGGACATCTTTATTTCAGATCTCCCGTTTATTATTTTCTAGTCCCGTGTATCGATCTATTATGAATTTTACTTTACAGAATGGCTCCGAGAAACCAACTTTTTGTTTATATTCTTTCTGTTTCTAATTTAAAAGTATTGGTACATATTCGCCCTGTTTATGATGATTTGGTTAATTTGGTAACCCTGGCTAGTATGTCAACATACAGATTTGCCCCGTTTTCTGCGCCACGTTAAGTTGCAGTTTCATCACGTGACACAAGCTCACCTTGAGGTGAAATTAATTGATACAAAAGCAGAGACAAAAACCCTGCATATAGACACATTGTAAATGTCTGCGTCTGGTCGTATCTATAGAGTATTTGTTTGAGACAGCCGTGCAGACAAGTAAAAACAATAGATTTTTAAGAGTATTGCAACAAAGCAACAAATTTCCCTTAGGAATACTAAAATACCAACATTGATATACACTTGTTACTGTAGAAAGCACCTTAACATAAATTTTGTCTTTTCAAAACATCAAACTGCTTATTTATAGATTTCAACCCAACTTGATGTCATGAAATCTAATGTTAACTAAAAAATAGCGAAGTCATATCCGGTAACATGGATCAGTGTCCCTTTTATGCAATTTTAGTCCAAGGTTGGCCTTTGCTTCCTGATTCTAGAATCATTATTGTTTTTTATGCAATATAAATTCTTGTTACTAATGTTCTCAGAGAGTAAGGAGATTTTTCTCAAAGAATGCGATTCATGAGCTAGGAAGGAGGTGCGAAAGGGCTGAAACGAATCGAAAGATCATTTCTATGTTTAATGAATTTAATCAGAACATAACTACATTAGAACTGGAATAAAACAGAAGATAAACTCTTCAAATATAATTATGGCCGTGCGTCATACTTTCTGAAGATTACTCTGGGTTTCTCATCGAAGACATTTTTAAGCACCATACCTTATAGCAAGAAATTGCCAATCTGATTCTGGACAACGTAAGAATTCGTTATATTCAGCTTTAAAATTTTCCTTTTTCAAAATGAAAATTAGGTGGAAAATAGACAACTGTGTTTTTTGTCAGACTAAATCGAACGTTTTCCGACAAAACAGCGAGATTAACAGGGGGGCTCAACCCCTCTGACCCCATCTTTTAAGCCACTGCCTTTGGGTTACTCAAACTGTTCAAGCCCTGAAGCCCATTTGCTCTAATTTCAATCTACTGAGCTGTGGCATTCAACACATCTAACATTAGGAATGTTTCATTAATTGCGTTGGGCGAGATATTTCTAAAACTTCTCATCCAAAGCATGTTTGATTATCGATCAGTAGGAAGAGAGGCCAACAATTTTGTTTTTTGAGCTTTCCTTGCCTAATAATTTAATGAAAATACTTCAATAATCAACGGGTACGTTTGCACTTATGTACCTCTTCTAGCTTCGCCACCAGCGAGTAAAATAAGTTAGAACACGCATGATTGTTCATTGTTAACCAGGATTTTCTCCTTTATCAAGACGAATTCATCTTGGAAATCCTATGATTAGGCATTGAAGTTTACTTTACTGCTAAATGTTGCATGTTTTCGTGCTTCTGTTACCAGGCAGTTATCATCTCTTGAAAAACTTGATACGGTTTAGATTTAGATTGTATTGTAGCAAAATAAGAATCAAAATCATCAAAGTTTTGAGTATCAAAATACAACGAGATTTTAACCTTAAAATGGCTACAGATTGACAGGGAAGCGTGTCTAGTGGCCTAAATTGAACCCTCCGTGTGCTTAATGCCTGAGTTTCTTCAGCCCTGTATGCTTAA